AAAAAAAAAAAAAAAAAAAGAAATGCTTTTGGGACAACTGGATTCTCACATGCAAAAGAATGAAGTTGGGGCTCTACCTACCACAATATTTTTTAAAAAAATAATAATTCAAAATAGATCATAAACCTAAATGTAAGAAATGAAACTCTTCGGAAAAAACATAGGAGTAAATCTTTATGATCTTAGAGTAGGCAATTTTTCTCAGTTATGACACCCTATGCTTACGCAACAACAATTTAAAAAAATGGTAAACTGGACTTCATCATAATTAGAAACCTTGGTGCTTCAGCAGATAGCATAAGAAAAAATAATAATAATAATAAAAAACAATCCATGGAATGGGAGAAAATATTTTTAAATCATGTATCTGATAAGGGACTTGCAGCTAGAATATAGAAGGAACTCTTACAATTAACTCACAATAAAAAGACAAACCCCTTTAAAATGGTTTCATACCTACTAAGGTGGCTGTAATAAAAAAGACAGATAACAAATGCTGTCCAGGATGTGGAGACACTGGAACTCTCAAACACTGCTGATGGGAATGTAAAATAACACGGCCACTTTAGAAAACAGTCTGGCAGTTCTTCAAAACGTTAAACATGAGAGCTATCATTTGACCTAGCAATTCCACTCCTAGACACAAGCCTAGGAAAATAAGAACATATGACCACCCAAAAGTGTGCACACAAATTTCATGGCAGTATTATGCTAATAGCCGAAAGATGAAAATAACGTGTCATGGAGTGAATTGTGACTTCCAAAAATATGTATCAGCTTGGCTGGGCCATGATTCTCAGTGATTTGGCAGTTAAGTAGTGATGTGATTTGGCAGTTATGTAACGATACAATCACCCCCATGATGTGATATAATGTGATCGGCCAATCAGTTGTAAGGGGATTGAAGTGGGCTGCAACACCCTTACTCAGGCCACAGCCCTGATCTGATGTAAGGAGAATTTCCCTGAGGTGTGGCCTGCATCTTATAAGAGATAAGCAGCAAAGAAGGAGGAAGCTCAGTAACACCAAGGTCTCTGCTCTGAGAAACTTCTAGATCCAGGGGAAGATTTATGTTAAGACACATGGAGATCTCCAAGGAACTCCGGGCCCACAGATGTTGAAAGAAGACAAGGACCTTCCCCCAGAGCCAACTGAGAGGGAAAACCTTTCCCTGGAATTGACAACCAGCATTCAGACTTTTAGACTCCTGAACTGTGAGAGAATTTCTGCTGTCGTATTTCTGTTATATCAGTTCTAGATAACACTCTCTCCTCTCTCACTGCCGTCAAAGACACAACCTAAATGTCCATCAACTGATGAATCAATAAAAAAATGTAATATATTGATATAAAAAACAAAATATACTGCCATTGAGTTGTATCCGACTCATAGTGACCCCTCCTTGGGTTTCTGAGGCAGTATCTCTACGCAGTAGATTGCCCAACCTTCCTTTCGAGGTTCAAACCCACCAGCCACTTCTGGTTAGCAGTCTAATGCCTTTGGCACTATGCCTCCAGAGCTCCTAGTATATTCATCCATTTTTTAGCATACATCGTGCTTCATTTTTTTTTTTTTATTGCTGAATAATGCTCCAGTATATTGATATAATGGTGTATTACTAATAAAAAAAGAATGAAGCACTGATGTATGCTACAAAATGTATGACTCTTGAAAATACTGTGCTGAGTAAAAGAAGCCAATCAAAAATGACCATGTATTGTATGGTTTTGTTTATATGAAATGTCCTGATCAGACAAATATTGAGAGACAGAAAGTAGGTCACTGGTGGCCAGGGGTCAGGGGTAGAGGGAAATGAGAAGGGACCACTAATGGGTAGAGGGCTTCCTTTTGGAGTGATGAAAATGTTCTCAAATTAAATAGTGATGGCTGTACAAATCTGCATATACTAGAAACTACTGAATTATATACCTTAAAATGGTGACTTACAGTACCCTATTACCATGATGTGAGTAATATCTCAGTAAAGTTGTTATAATTTAAAAAAAAAAAAAGAAAATTGTCATGTGTTAACTTTTCTCTTCTCAAAACTCTCCAATGGTTTCTCATTTCACCCAGTGTAAAAAGTAAAGTTCTTTTTTTTGACCTAAAAGGCCCCTTACTGAGAACAATGTGGTACAAAACTCAAAATCATTTGGAGGCAAAAAAAAAAAAAAAGAAGGTGGGGACCAGGTTT